GGCTGCTTCCCCAGTTGCCTGACTCAGTTACTTTACCAGTATGATGCTCTTGAGGGGGTTGAAATGCTTTTTTGACTGTACAGTTATACTTACAGGACTCAATGAAGCTCTTATTCCTCCCACCAAAACTGGGAGAGAAGGAGATATACCTAGCTTTGTTTAGCCAGGCTTAGCTAAAGAAATATGGGTCTAAAAGAGTTTGTATGAAAACATAAATTCTTTGGTGGCAAGGAGTGTGTGAGTACAGATCCATAGCCCAGAATGGTTTCAGTTGAAATGTATCTTGTACTCAGCTGGAGGGAGCTACCACCTTATATCAATTTTTACTTCCCATGACAAATATTTTGAGGATTTTTGACAATTCGGTTGTTGGCAGTCATGTCAGGATCCTCTGCAAATGTGTTTTCTCTAGTGTTGATTTTACTGAATATACTTCAATTTTACTTCAGTACTCATCAATAAACGGATTGGTGTGTGGCACAACAGCAAGAGTTAGTGGGAGTTTTGCTTAAGTGAAGGATAGAGCCTTCAGTTAGGAAACCTGTTTTTTCTTACCTGCATGTGCAAAGAAGTCCATGCTTTTGCACTATATAAAGAAGGGCTTTGTGCTTCAGTCTCACTGATAACCAGGTACTTCTAGACAGCCTGTTGTAAGTGATTCAGCGGCGCCTTTGGCTCCCAGCAGGAAAGCCTCTGTGAACTGCTCCTGAAAACGTTTTAAACCTGCAGCTTCAGCAGGTATTTTTAGGTCTGTCTTGAAGACAGGGCAACTTTCATACATTTCAGCTTCTTTGTCTGGAGTCACTGCAGCTCCAGACATGTCATTGAAATGGGGTATAATTGTGGTCTCCTCCCCTCTCAATCCACCCACCAATCTAAACTGCTTTAAAGGAGCTTCCTGCTGTGCTACAGAGCGTATTTAGAGCCTTTCCTAGCAAAGCAGTCAAGATGTATTTTTTTATACATAATATGTTGATTAGGCAGGAAATCGATAGAGAATACCTTTCTTAATTCCAAGACTATCTTTGGGGAAGAGAGAAATATCATCTGACATTTCTTAAACAGTTTCTAGACATCCCACTAAAGTTTACAACCCCACAATGTGGATAACATACTTGAGTAAGGATAAAACTAAAATATACTTTCTATATTCTAAAAATATACTTTCTATAAGAAAAATGTGGTTTGTGACAGTGGAATAATTGGAATAGAGCTATGCTGATTTACAGTGCCTCTGGTTCTGGCCTCTGGTTTTCAGTGAGCAGTAAGAGAAATTAATAGAAAAATAAAGATCAAGTCCTGTCTGTTCCAAATAGGGTGGATCTGGTATGATGGCAACTAGAAGTTTAGACCAAGAAGCTGCTCCCTAAGAGTCTAAAGTTGTTATGAAGCTTTCCAACATGGCCCAAGATCAGGATAATATCCTGCCCATAATAATATGAAATTTCCTTTACAGTCCATGAAATAACTATTTAACTATCCCAAGTGAATGAATCATGGCAATGCTGTGATGGCAGGTAGAGATAAGTAAGTTTCAGGAATCTAAAGGTCATGACGCTTTTTTAGGCTTGATCATTTAAACATTTCCTCAAATAAATACTCCCATTCAACTTTATGGGACTCTTCCTCTAAGTTGCTCATGTACATAAGTGTTTGCAGGAATGGAGATTGCAAGTAGCTTAGGCAGCTGGTATTTATCCCACTCCAGACAACATACAGTTTTAGTTTCTTTGCTTTCAACAACTGGCGGACAGTATACACGGTACAATAAAACATGAAATAAATATGAAGAAAAGATTAATGAGGACTTCAGGGGAGATTAGAAGGGAGACTAAAAAAAAGAAAGCTTCTTATCTTGTGTCTAATTGGGTTTTTTTTTTCTCTTGCACTTTTCAAAGTGGGACTGATATTTTTTTCTCCTTCCTTATTTCTACATTCATATTATAATCTATAATATTCTAGAGCTGCTGAAAGACACAATTCTCCCTATATGTAATCAGCTAATAAAGTAGAAATCCTACCATATCTGTCTTTCACCATGCACGTGAGAAATCTACACGGTCACTTTAACACATCTATCACAGAGCAGCTGGGATAAGATCAGTGCTTTGGCAGACTTAGGTTTTTTTCTTCCGTGATGAAGGATTGTTGGTTGGATTGGTTCACTTTTTGCAATACAAGTTTTTATGAGTTTAGTATAAAACAAAAGATTAAAAGAAAACAATACAAACAGCATCTCAGTAGCAGATGAAAGTAGAGTTGACATTATATTCTGTTGAACAGTTACTAGAAAGCTAACATATCAGGCTAGTGGGAAAGACTTTTCCATCCTATTAAGTTAATAGCTGAATAAAGCAGTATTAAAACAAACAGATGAATTCTGCTGAAATATTACATGGAAAATCAGATACATTTCAATATAGGGATGAAAGATACTGTGGGGAAAATTTTCAAAGGGCTTCAGGGCGTGGAAGCTGATCCTGTAATTTATATCAACTGTAGTTCATTCAAGTGGAGCTAATGATTACCTGTTGGAAACTCTGCATGGAGGGGAAATGGGTGGGAGAAGACATTGAGGGTGAACATGCACAGACATGAAGATAAATCAGTAATCTAACAGGCAAAAGGGTAAGGTTTTTTGGGGGGTGGGGGGAGATGAGATTTAACTTTACATTTCATTTTAGATCTTTGTAACAGTGATCTTAAACTGATGCAGCAGGGGTGTAAAACTCATCTGGCCCCCTGGTCACGGACTGGTTCAGAGGCTGGATCAGGCCCACAGACCAGCCCTGTGCTCCAGAGCTAGCATGGATGGCTGGTCCAGTACAGACTCTGTATGCAGAGCACTCCCTGGACTGGCCCCATGTGCCACATATATTATAGCGTGCACACCCCAGACCAGACCTGTATGCTGAGTGTAGTCTATGCGCTGATTCCTATTTCACCAGATCGGCTCCACAAACCACAGGGCCAACGCATGTAGCATAGAGAGCTGATCTGAGACCCGCAGGCAGCACCACAGGCCAGAAGAAAGGGCTTTGTGGGCTGTATCTTTGGCACTCCTCTGATACAACAATATCAAACAAAAGGACATTTTAGATGTACTAAATTAATTTAGATCTATCTGAAAATGAAGCTTATCTATTCCAGCAACAATTTGTAGAGATAAGCCAATTTCAAAAGAATGTAGAACAAATATTCCCTCCAGTTTAAAAATGAATTTGTTTCCCGCCACCCCCTTTTTTCACTTCTGATAAACAATTGAACAATTTGTTATATTAGTGCAATTGCTCAGAAAGGGAGAAATTTACATCTATGCTTCAATATCATTTAAATTTTTTAAAGAAATTATGGAATCCTGGGAGCAAAGACGATAAATTCATTGAATAATTTAATTGACAATGATTCATTCAGCTCTAAGGACCTATGATTTTCCTTCTCTTCAACAGCTGCACAAGGTAGGCAAGAAGAGATGCTACTAACTTGTCTTGAGATATAACATATCATATCTCTACCTATTTTTATAAAATGCATCTAGCAAAATATCATGGCCCTGATCCAAAAGTCATTGTACTTGATGGTACTCTTTTCATTGGATTTGGGTAAGTCTGTAAATGATGGCCGTACCTGCCTTTTTTTCATTGTCACTAACAGGTATTACAGAACCTGCCAATTTTTTGTGTCTAAGGATTTTCCAAATCTAAGCAAGAAGCAGGCAGTTATGTTAGTTGTCCAACAGCATTAACAAGAGGCCCAGTATTCAAAGCCCAAAATATAGCTTCAGTTCTGAACTTCCTCAAAAAAAAAAAATTAAAAAGAAAAGTTTGGGGTAAGTTGGATTCAGAGACCTAAACTGTTAAGTTTGATTCACAGTAATGTTAACTGGCTTAGTCCCTAACTCTAGTTTAGTTATCAACAGAAAAAACCCATCACATTGTTTAATAATTACAGTACAAAGCTGTGAGATCCATATTGGACAAAGCCTTATTTTCTTGTGCTTTCCCTATGTCTCTGTTGTATATACATAATACCTACAATTTAGATCCTACCTGACTTCAGGCTAACTATCTCTCTCTACCATTTCAATTGTAAGGTATTCATGGCAGGGATGGTTTCTTTGTTATATATTTATAGGAAGCCTATCGCAGTGGTCCTGGAGAGGCTATTGACATTACAGTAATACAAATAGCAATAACAACAGAAATTAAATTGGAGCATCAGTGTCTCAGACCACCTCTGGTAACCAAACCCGCTATTCTCTTAGAGCTGTTCTTTAAAATGAGTTGATTAAAAAACAGAGGCTTTATGTCAGACAGAAAGACTTGGTGGGGGAGAGCAGCAAATTCTGTTCTTCTTTGTACAAATATAAATCTAGTGTAAATTCAGAGCATTTCCATTCATGCCTACAAATTTGCATCTGAGCAGAATCTGTCCTTGTGTAGGGCATTAGATTTAATACTCACTAAGCAATATAATTAAAAGATGATGTTACCTGAATATCAGCTTTTCTGAACGCATGTTTGTTTGGTGTTTTAATTGAAAATAAACAAAATCAGGAGCACAAAAAAAGTAGAAAAGATATGTGTGAAATGTAATGATAATGGTTGACTTCTAAACAGCCAGGGAAATTATAGTCATCTTATGTGTGGGACAGGAACAAACACCTCTTAATTGCACTTCATTATAACGTACCTTTCTCTGCTCAGTTGTATATATTAATTATAAAAATCATGTTGCAGAGACGAGAAGCTCTACAATAGTTTTTTTTTTCCCTCCCTCCCTAATGCTGTCTGCAGCAGGATGGAAGAACAATATCAACTGTCATCCATCGAAAGAGCTTTCAAAGTCAAAATCATAAAAAGAATGAAAGGCTATTATAAAAAAAAAAGTAGGAAAATGCTTTGATTTCACAGATTTTTCTACTTATTAATGTTTAAGGTTCTCTCTTCTTTTTAAAAGTATCTTCTCATATTGCTTTGTATGTGTTATGTACAGGTAATATCACTTTTTGATGACTATATCACATGGCACGTGGATTACGTAGCTAAATATTAACGGATGGAGGTTGAGGGGATTAGTATGGGAAAAGATACTGCAGCAGCCCATCAGGACTCACATCAGTGGTTCAGACAAGGTATGGAAAACATTACCATCAGTCTAATTACACTAATTTGACACTGTATTTTGAGTTGTTTTCTTTTGCATTGTAGTCTTGGCAACATTGAAAAATATCCTGAAAAGTAAGAGCATTGTGGGCCTTGTGGGCCAAATTCTGTGGGGTGGTAGGTCGTCTTCCTCTTACTGCTTTTTTCCAGAGCCTGCAGAGAGATCATTCTGCTTTACCCTTCAATAGACACATTGCATGATACAAAAAACACATTATTGCTTCATAAGGAGGGGTCAGCTGCATATGGACTCAGCGTTTCTCTGTGCCCATACATAACAATGAAAACCGAACATCCAATCCTGTGCATTACAGGCATAATCTGCTCTGCAGCTAATTAAACTGGACATATTATTCACCAGCAGTGTAGGAGGAACTTCAGGTGGCTTTGATATGGCTCCTGTTCATGATAAATCAGTACTCCAGCTCAGAGCTGTTATGGTGTGATGAAGAGTTGAATGTCAGATTAAGGCCTGACAATAGGACTGTTTTTTGCAACATATCACCTGCCTGTTTTGGACCCATTTGTACAATGGGCCATTATTTGACTCTTTTTGCATTATCCACAGTGCAGTCAGTAAATTTATGATGCATACGAGAAAAGAAAATGTTGCCCTGTTTGTTTTAATGGCTCATAACTCTCCTGTCCAAACTGTGATTATAATATTTGACAAAAGGTTGCACAAAAGGAGAAGGAATGTGAGACGTATTTGCCGAACAGTTTATGTTGAAGCTTGAAGGTGAATTCTAGAAGAACTGCTTGGAAAGTTATTTAGGAAAATTAAAGATGCCCATAGCACAAATTTAGGACAGAAACCGGAGCTTATGTATTTGTTTACATTGGAGGAGGTGGGCAATATTGTGTAAGCTGGTGAATATCTAATATATGGGGTGGTACAGTTGATCAGGAATCATCACTCTTCATTCTTCCATAAAAATAAGTATGAGGGAGGGAACAAAATAAAAATCCCTGGGTAATGATTGGTTGTATGTGTTCACTGGGCAGCCCCTTTTGGTTGAAATCCTGTGGAACCTTCATTGTAAAGTTAAAGTCCCTGCACTGAAGAGGAAGCCCAGTGAAAAGCTCTCTCTGGCAAGCACCCCTTGAACAGGGCTAATACTTGCTAATAGGAGGGGGTTCAGTTTGTATTGCATTGGGTCTATGGGGGCAAATTGATGCTGGCTGGTTGGTTGGTAATGTTTTAGGCCAACACACCCAGGGTTTCAGAATATTGTTGCTTGTCCAGGGTTCATGGTCCTCTCAGATGGCAATGACTTTCTGTCACTACCAGCCTGGATTAGATTTTGTGATTTAGAGGTAACGGTGTTTTTTGCATCCTGTTTTCAGTCCCCCCTGGTATTCATGGCTTTTCAGGACAAATATCTTAATTGCCATAAAGCACCCACTTACCAACCTTTGCAGAATCAGAGAACTACCTGTGGTCACAGGTTTTGTAAATATTGAAGGTGGCTTTGTACCAAGTGATGTATTTCATGGGATTTAGTACACTGGTGTGTGCATCAGACCGGTTATATGACTGAGTGGTTATGTAAGGCTTTTCTAGTTTCAGTATTCAGCTCCAGAGTATTGGCATTTCCTTTACATCCTGTGTCATTTCCCTAAAAATGTTTTATTCCCTTTTTCAAAAAGCTGGCTCCAATAACCTGGTCACAAACTGAAATGTCATAATTTCAGTAAATGTTGCTGGTGGTTCCTCTATCCCTTGCTTTCTCCCCTACTCAGATTACAGCTGTGGCATGAAAGTGATGAATCTGATGAGCTGTTGCAGAATAGCAGAGGGCAACATGATGAATCTGCTAATGGTGGGACACTGGTAAGAGAGGTCATCAGGAGGAGAAGGTTTGTGCAATCACAAAATTTTCTGGAAACCTAGGATGAATGTAGTGTTGAAGACAGATGAGAAGTATATTTGACCTTACCACTTTTAGTACCCAAAGAAGCTTATCAGCAGGCTGCTACAACCTTTGTGCTAACATCTCATGGTGGTCAAAAACTCCTAGAAGGGTCAATTATATTTATGTCAAAGGAAAATTCTGCTTTCTTCTGAGATAAATTCTGGTTTCCTCTGTGTGTATTTTAATATCAAACCCATTACTACAGTATCTGAATGTGAATGGGCATGCATTTAATAGGAAGACCTCTTCTTACCCTTTCCTTCCCTAGCACTATGGACAAATGTGGAATTGAGCCATGGACTGACACTAGCACTCCCTAAATTCTTGGAGTAAAGGAACATGCCCAGCAACCCTCAGGGGGCCCCAGAGTGGGGACACTGCCTAGGTTGAGAGAGTGAGCCAAATCCCCAATTGTCCCTATCCTACTATGGCTGCTAGAATTCTATATCTATTGTTTAATTTTGCACTAGCTATATCCTGCAGTAAACCAGTCTGCTTACATCAGTCTTGTGCCTCAGAGTATCTCTGTGTAGCCTCAGCAGCTCTGTTTTCCATACAGGTATGACATTACTTAAAGGGCCCGTGTGCTTTCTCTTGCACTTTTTTATTGATAATTGCCCAAGCTCCTGGTGAACCTATCAAACAAACATTTACAGTGTAAGTCTGTGCAGATCATATTAATTTGAGCTCTGGATACAACAGACTCATCTGATTAATTTAATTTCCTGTTGCTTTCCAAGTACTATTCTTTATTACTTTCTAAGAAAATACTGAGTTGCTAGCTGACCTTTTTTCTTTGTTGTATACACAGTCCAGTGACAGAAGGACAGACACCACTGACCTCTTGGCATATTTGGAAGATGTGGAAGAAACAATTAATGAAATAGTCAGTAACAGCATTCATCATTCCTTGCAGAACTGCAGCCTTTGTTGGGAGATGCAAGTTGTAGAAACTTCGGTGATGCTATACTGTTTTGTAAATCTGCTCACAAACTTTTAGGTTGTGCATCACTAGTACATCAAAAATGGAGAGGTAACATGTCTGTCAGTGTAATGACAAGTTTATTACATTGGTATATTCCTTAACAATATGTGCGGTCTTCTGTCCATTGCATTGTTGCTGTTAACACCATCTGATGACACCTTGTGGTTTTAGAGGGGTCACTTAACTGTCCCCAAGCCAAAGTGCCCATTGCTAAGCCTTGCATATCCATGTATAGGAAGGAGATTTTGGCTATCTTCATGCCTTGCACCTTAAGGGATATTTTGCTGTAAATCAAGAGCAGCTCCATTGAAGTCAATGGAATTTCACTTGTATAAATGAGACCACTACAATGCTACATGCTCAGGCCATTACATATTCCTAGCTCAGCACCAGCATCATGATCAAAGTTCAGTTTCTATGACCTAGTTTCCCCTGAAGTCGACAGGAACAAGTTAGCTGGAGAAGAATGATTGTTTTAAGAGTGTGATTGATCCTAAGGGCATCTTTATACATGTGTTGGGGAGAGGCTCTAGTTACAGCCCAAGAGCCGCTCTAATTAAAGACCCGCAGTATCACATGTATTCAGCATCCCACACTTCAAAATGGTGACAGGAGCACTTTAACTAAAGCTCATTTGATGAGCTTTAGTTAAAGTGTCCCCACCGCCATTTTGAAGCACGGAGACACTGAATACATGTGATGCAGAGGCTGCTGGAGAGTGCTAATTAGATTTATCGAGTCTGCTCTGACACATGCTAATTAGCATGTGCTGAAGCAGACCTCCAGCATGTGTATAGGTTCCCTAAAGGTTTGAGTGGCACTGAGGTGTAATTTCTGAGAAGTTCAGAAGCAGCTCCAAACTAGCTTAGGTGATGGAATAGCCTTCAGCTTTCCCCCAGCTCTAGGAATAGCAAGGGTGACTTAGCCTCCTTTGTTCTCTCCAGCTGTCTCAGCTGTGCCAAGTGGAGCTCTGTAAATGCAATGCATGCTCCTCTAAATGAACTTCTCCGCTTTCCTGTTCTTAAATAGCATGGGCCAAATTCGCTGCTGGTGCAGCTCCAGTGAAATAACTGATGGAGTTATGCCAGCAGAGGATTTGTCCCCATAGCTCCTCTGATGATTAAATTTCTCCTCAGCACTCTTTTTTTCTATTGAAATGCCATTTACAAAATTCAACCATTATGTTTAAAGCTATCTTACTTCAGGAAGGAGAAACACGCTATATACTTTCGTTAAGCAAACATTAACTTTAAGGTAAAATGAGGCTGAGAAGGGTGATAAGCCAGTCACTCTGAACACTTCCAAATAAGCTGAGAAAATCAGCTTCTCAGAATTCACATTAAAAAAACATAATGAAGTTAATATTAAATAAAAAGCTTGTGCAACCTTTTACTTTTTACAGTATATGCTGATGTGTCCTTGATTCCAGTCCTGTTTTGTTTATGATTAATGAATGACTCACCTTGAAGACCGCTCAATTTGATTCCTACCTCATTACGAATTTGAAGAGGTCATTTTGTTTTGGGGGTCTAAGAGAAAAGCCTCTTTGTGTTTTGCAAATGCTAATAGTTAATAGTATCAAATAATAGTTAATAGTATCTAATAATAGTCAGATACAGTGCATATATAATGATGACATGGAGAAGTTTCTGTTCAATTCAATTCTTATCAAATTATTCAATTCAATTCCTCAAGTTATTCAGGAAATTTCCAGGCATACAATTAAGTGCAGACTCAGTATAACAAAGATTGTTATTTCTCTCATCTTTTAATTAAAAGGCTGCATCTATATACTTTTACTCCATATATAAAGACTTGGCATGCTCCTGTACAAACTTTGAATGTATTTTACCTATTTCTGAATACAAAAACCTAGAATTGGGATTTGCAAAGCAGATTATTTTTGCAGGAAGCAAAGGTTAGATGATCCATATTTTGAAGTTTTCAGCATGAAAAGGCCATTTCAGTGGAATTATGTAAATCAAACTAAATCAGAATTAATGGTGAATGTTTTGAAATTAGGTAAAATAAAATAGTGAAAATAATTGTGCAAAATAGGAAGTGTCCAGGAAAAAAAATTCTTTAGCCATATAATGTATAAGTTGTTCACATTGAAGACAACAGCGCTTGCACTCCCGTCCATCAAAATCAGGATTTCTTTGGGAATAACCCATGGCAAAAGAAAGAGAAATTGGCTGCAACAATTATTTTTAGATTTTCCCTGAAGCCTATGCTTTAGTGCTGTGGTAAGCCATGTGTGTTCTAACGAACCTGAGGGCAGTGCTGGCATCGGTTCTGACCATTGGTTGAGTTGTTCAGCTGGACAGGTCAAAGGTTAGGAACCAGATGAAGTGTGCCACTGTCACTCCAGGTTGGTAGTTAGATGATAGGTCAGAAACCTCTTCATAAAATAGTTAAATTATAGAAACACAACTAAGCAAGCATTCTGGCAAAGAGCATGATGGACAGAGGCTTGTTTTTTGCCCCAGTGTTTGTCTAAGCTGGAAAGATTCAGATGACTCATGGAGCAAAATACCCGCTGTGTAGAGGATCCCATGTGATCTGTGTATGACATAAATATTTCTAGACTTTGTACTGCATTGTGCACAGTGGTGAATTTCACTCCCTCTGAATACCTACTACAGTAAGATGAATTAATGGTCCATGACCTCGAGAAAAGCATAGCATCAGATTCAGACCATGTGTAAATGGACTTGCAATCCATGTGTGCAAGTTCTGAATTTGCCCTTTTAGGACTAGGTGATATAAAAAGTAAGAAATCTTTCCTGTCAAAGCAAGTCCATCTCTTATTGGGTTTTTTCTATTTACATTTAACAAACCATTTGACTTCTATATGCAATGCTTTATAAGCACAGGACAATAAATATAATAAAAATAGAATTCCCATAGTTGTTTTGGTGATCATGTGCCTGTAATACATAAAAGTTTTTAGGTCAGTTTCCTTTTCTACCGAATGTGGTTTTGGTTCTTGCATATATAATTTGGTATTTTGTTATCTGGTTTTATGTGACTGAGCCAATGGGAACCGTATAAAAAATTATAATCTACATTTACCTGTTCAGCAAATAGATGTGCTTTCATTACTTCAAAGCTAAGAAGCACATGAATTCCAGTTGTGTTTTTTTTTTAAATATTTCATCATTCTTTGTGGCATGTATGATTCAGGCTGATTCACCTCGTTATTTGTGTTGCAAAGGTCACTAGCTTATTATGTATGGTTTGTGTCATCACTTTTGAAAAATAATGTAGCTCTGAGAATGGTTAGTAAATGCAGGCTGATCTTTGGTCTCTGGTTTGCTTAATATTGTGGTTTTGTTTTCCAAAATTTGTTCAGAACTATTTGTACCTTGGATTATTAATCTACAACTAAACATTGTCCTTGGTGTTCATCTAGCTGACGATGCTTGGAACTAGACCAAGTCTATTATCTTTTCTTTGAAATTGTGGAGAGCATTTATTCCAATGCTGAATTAAAGTTTCTTGTTCATTTGCAATTCTACTGGAAATTACTTGGCCATTTAGGATTGGTGATCATGCTACCAGTGCACACAAAGGTTTGAATGCATGCTCAGAGCAGAGATACTCCCAGCACACACATTTCAATGGTAAAGAATGTTTCTCTTCATTGAAATTGAGGTATGCTGTGGGAAGGTAATAATAGTAACTCTAATTTTCATTAAAAAGCAGTGGGGAAAATACCCCTATCCAAGGGAATGTGTTGTAGGGCCTGCGCCTAGATTTCTTCAATTGTAAACTGTCTCTCTCTGCTTGAAACCATTGCTACCAATGAGAGCCCTTAAAGCCTCTCTCTACTCTACAGCCATGACATAACACACATGCACAACTACAGAGCACTTTTAAAATGGTCAATAGTGTAAAAAATTAACCCTTGATAAATCAGGTATTAACTGATGGTGGTCTAGAGCAGAGCACCTTAGGGAACTTGTGTTCCCTTAAGGGTTAATTTTTCATGTCTTTGTGGGGTTGGGCTTGCGCCCATGAGCACCACCTCAACCCTGCCCCTGGGGCTGTCTGTAGGGGAGGGAAAGCAAAGGGCAGCATGCAGCTGCTGACTGGGCTTTGCCTGGCCAGAGCTGGGCAAGGTAGAACAAAGCCCCATCACCTTGCGGACCCTCACAGCTACCCTGGCTGGGGTATTGAGGGGAGCTGGGCCAGGCCCATGGGGTGAGGGGGCTCTGCTACACCCTGCTCATCCCTCCAGCTCTGGCTGCAGCAAAGCCCTGCCAGCAGCTGCTGCTGCCACTGTCACGAGGCCCAGACGGGGTGGAGGAAAGGAGCCCCACTCCCTGGGGCCCAGCCTGGCTCCACCCAATTCCCCAGCCAGAGTAGCTGGGGGGGCCTGCAAGGCAAGAGGGCTCTGTTCCACAACCCCTCCTTCCGGTTCCAGCCAGGCAAAGCCCTGCCAGCAGCTGCATTCTGCTCCATTCCCCTGCCCCTCCCCTTTTCTTCCCTCCCCCAGCAGTGGCGAGAGCTGGGCAGATGGGGCTGGGGAAAGGGGCAGGTCAGCAGCCTCCCCAGAGGCTGCTGGAGCTCCCCTGGCTGCTGGGGTCTATGAGTTAGTATAAAGCACCATGGCTAGGGACATAAATTACACATATACCAGTTTAAGTGATCAGAAAGTGGTTTAAACCTGTAACAGAACAGAAGCTCAGTGCACATAAACCAGTTTCAAAATGGCTGAAACTCTTTTAGGATAAACCTGATTGAATGTAGTATCAGACTTAACTGATTTGAGTTGAACCGGTTTATGAAACTTCTATCTTAGACCCTTTCCTGGTTCAAGTTAAATCACAGTCCCCCACTATCCCAGTGTGCTTTGCAGCCCTGGGCTGGGCTGAGCTGGGCTGTGCTGTCTGCTCCAGAGAGCAGGGCTA